ATTGACGGGGTATATATTCCTCCGTGCTCAGACATCTCCATATATGAGTCTCATTGTAAATCGGTTGAGGAGATTTTTCTTACCAATGCTTCCTCTGAGCTTGTTATTTTTGGTGACTATAATTTATMGCACTGCTCTATTTTTAATCATCCTAATGATATACTAGCTTGTCAATCTATAGGTCGTTGTTCTGTATTGAATTATGCTCAGTTAATTTGTGATTATTTTATAATCTTTATTTTTATTTTTATTTTTTATTTTTTTTTTGTAATCATTATTTTGTTATAATCTCTACTTTGTATTTTATCCTGATCTCATTTATTGTATCTTTTTCTTTTTTTTGTACTAGTGGGTTTATCCCGTAAAATAAATAAATAAATAAATAAATAAATAATTGGTTTGCGTTATTTGGACCGAAACATCTTAATTTCTTCAAACATTTCAGTTCCGTCGAAATGATATTTATCACTTCGTTAAATTGAATTATTGCTACTAAAAAAATATCTTGTATCTATTAATGATATCATTATTCTGTAAAAAGTTATTCAAAATTGGTGTTTTTTAATTGGGTAATTTTCGTAGATCGCGGGGCCTTTCAGAACGCGCTGAATCTGTCTTGCGCCGGCCCTGCATCTTTACAATATTCTATTTCTTTTTATATATATTCTCTTTTATGTATATCCTTTTTCTTTTTATTCGATGTTGCAAACAAAAGAAAACAAATCTTCGCTTTTATAATTTTTATATTTTAATTAAATGAACGCGCGTGTTTGTTGTGCTAAGTTATTACTTTTCTTTTAAAATCTATTATTAATTTGCAAATATAACTTTAAGAAACTTTTGTCATTAAGAAAAATAATCGAGCATTGCTCGCGCATGCGCTTTGGCAGCTCGCGCGCGGTTCTTTCTTTCCCGGCGGCGATTTTTACATTCAATTCATCTTGTGAAACGACAACGTGAACACGCGTTTTCAAGAATTAATTTTCTCTGTGGGTTTTCCCAACGGCTCTCGCCATTTTGGATTATACGCGTATTATAGAATTTGGTTTACGTTTTTTTTTGCTTGTGCAAGATAGTTCACATTCAAAAACAAATTTTGAGGTAACTATTTTCTTACGGTACCGGTCAGTAGCTAGAACCTGCAAATACAGCCGCCACTCGGTTCGAAATCAGGTAAGCGATTATTATATTTACTGCACACCTGTGATGAAAACGAATCAACGATTCTCCTCTCATCGATAGCGAAATGATTTAGCCTTTTCATTTACACTTTTATATTCATACTGATTTTCGCAAACTTATTTCCATTCACCTCGTTTCTTTTTTGTGTTTTATTATTATAACATCTCCATCACCACTTCTTAACGTTAGGATTCGTCAACATTTGGTTCTTCAGGCCGGGTCGGGTGGAAAAGTTTGCGAGTGATTGTGAAAACCAGTAAAAATCATTTCTACGGATTTGTAAGAAATCTCATTACAAACATCTCAACAACGGTCTTTCCCATTATTTGTTCTCTTTTTGCGTCGCAGTTACCATCCTCCTTCCCCGCGAGGTAAAGCTCAACCTCCACGCGTACTTTGTTGTTGATAATTCGACGTGTTTCAACTTTTTCGCGTGTTCGGAAAGATCAGGGGCGCTCAATGTGTTAACCGTTTAGTAGTTTCTCTCATGGTCAGTAGTGCTCAATTTTTCGAAAAAATACTCATTTTGTGCATTAGGTGTCTCGCGTGTTGCGTTCCGTTCACTGGTTGTTCAAATTGCGCGCCTTTGTTTTCGGAATTTTTCGAGCTATTTCGTCGATTCGTTCGGTCGAACAATCCCCCATCACATCATCACGAACCTATCTAGTAATGTTTTCAAACAAGGGGGGAGAACTCATGAGGTTCGGCGCGAATAGCCTCGCCCGCACGATTGTCAAGAAAATTGACAATGAAGGTACCAGGTCAGTCAATAAGAGGCAAATGAGAATTTTTCAGGTCTAAGGCACTTACAAATTGATACAATGGTAATTCGACGATGTTGAGTCGAATGGTGCTAATTTTTTTGCACTACGATGTGCCATTTATGAAGAAAAGGGTAAAAAATGGCCATATCTTAGAATCTATGCATTTAATCGAAGAAAGTTTCAAACAAAAGTTGTAGAGAATTGAAAAATACATAAAAAATGTTCTGAGGTTTATCTTTGTATTTGCAAAAATTAGCGAGAAATATTGGTAAAATTGATTTTAAGAGTGGGGGACAAGTCCCGCCTCTTCGTCTGTCTTTACACGCGAGCGAGCTATTGTGCGTTATCTTGGGGTCTCTGGTAGTAAATGCGAGTGCGAGTGAGAAAAGAAATGGATATTTCTCTCTTTCTATTTTTTCATGCGATAGCGAGTATTTTTATTTTGGCCATCGATTGTTGAGCGTTTTGTATGCGAGTGCGAGTAAGACAAAAAAACCGATATTTCTCTCTTTTTATTTTTTCATTCGGAATTTTTCGTCTTATGGCACGCGGTTTTTTTATTTATTGTCAAAAATAGTGAACCTTGATTAAAAGAAAAACAATAATTCATTTTAACAGAAACTATTATTATTATTTATATAGTCGAGAGTAAAAATAATGAATTAATTTTGTGTCTCGACATATAAAATTAATTGGTATAATTAATTGATATAAATTTTTTGCCTCACAAAAATTTATTTGTGTATCAAATTAAATACGTATTCTTTTTAAGACGAAATTTATAATTTAAAAATTGTTCCTATTAAATTATGTATTTTAGGATATTTTAAATTAAAGATTTGTTGTCTCGTAAATATTTATTTATGTATTAAATTGAAAACATATTTGAAAAAGAAGAATTTTATATCTACACATAAAATTAATTCAAGATATACAGGAAAGGATATTCTAAAAACATGGAATTTATTTTTAGTCGAAACATAATTTTAATTCATTTTTATTATGTTATAAGAAAACAGTAATGCATTTTTATTCAGCTTCAAAGTCATAGTAATTGTAAGAAAAGAATTGATCATTTGCCAAGTGGCGCGCTAGCGTAAGTAGTATCGTGTCTGCTTCTCACGCGGGTAGTTACCGTTCGATTCTTTTTGTGGGGGAATTATTTTTTTTATAAGTTTTTCTATCCTTAAGTTATACAAATTCATTTTAAATTTCTTAATTTTTATTTATATACTGGAAAGAAAATGAAAATATTACAAAAAATTTGAAGCAATAAATTTTTTACCATCTTGCGCAAATAATGCTTAGATTCTAAGATACGGCCGTTTTTTTACCCTTTTTTCTCAAAAACTAACCATCCGATTGCAAAAAAATTAGCACCATTCGATTCAGCGTCGTTGAATTACCATTATATCAAAGTTTTTGGCCAAGAAACACAATTAGCTCAGTTTTTCTTTAGTTGAGCGGACTATACGTGAAAAATGGAAAGTGAGAAATTGAATTAATCAGATGATATAAGAATTTACACAAAATCAAATCAGCGAAAGAAATAACAATGAATGTAAGATTTTAAAGTAAATTTTGAAATGGAACATTTGACCCTATTTGGTATGTTTAATGTTAAACAACATAGTGGAAGAGACTCTCTTCACGTTCGAGAAGCACGTTCAAGGTCGGATCTTTAGTTTTCATCACGAACGTACATTTCTCTTTGTAAATGGCCGCTTGCTCGAGTTCTCGAATTACATCCAAGCAAGGATAGACTGTAGGATAACTACACTGAAGACGGCCTCAACAACACTTATAAGACCGCTCACCAAGCTAACTCCGCTTTCGTCATTTCATCTAGAACAGGGCTTCTTAAACTATGRGTCGCGACCTCAAATGGGGTCGCGTAGCAAAATTCTGCGGTCGCGAGAGATTTTAATGTCAAATATTTATATATACCATTTTATTAACATCACTAGAGTTGGCGGAATACAGTGGACTTGCAGCGTCTAGACACGTGCATTTGTTGAAGGTTTTGAGCTATCTCCACCGACAGCAGTAATATTTGTATGGGGTCGTCAAGAAACTCGCAATCATAAATGGGGTCGTCAAGAAACTCGCAATCATAAATGGGGTCGTCAAGAAACTCGCAATCATAAATGGGGTCGTGAATGACAAAAGTTTAAGAAGCCCTGATCTAGAACATCGGATATAAAAACTAATCAGCAACTGTTGCTATTGGGGAGGGGGGAAAATCAAAGCGCCCGCCGATTCTCCTAAATGCGATTTATTTTACTACAATATCTACCAGTACAACTCATTAAGAAAAAAATAATTGCTTGCACCTGCGCTTTTTTCTTCTTTCCCGGTGATTTTCACTTTCTCTTTTCATCAATCCACGACATTGAACACAAGTCTTTCAAGAAGCAATTTTCCACATGGCTTTTTTTCAATGACTTTCGCCATCTTGGATTTTCGCGTATAATTAAATTCATTTGAATTTGGTCTATGCTTTCATTGCTTGTGTAAAAGGATAATTCTTATGTTATTTAATTCGGTACTGATGCCAATCAGCAGTTTACGACTTATTTCCATTTACCTCATTTCTTTTTTCCACTTATAACATCTTCACCATTACCACCTCTCACTGTTGGGATTCGTTTTGAGAATGTATTACAAATATATCCAGAAAAATTTAATCTATGTGAATAATACAAATAAATATTATCATAGTTTACAGTATTTTTTTTTTTCCACAACTTTTTGTATCATATATCTTCTGTTCTTATGTTCTAAACTATTTTATTTTTTCAGAAGGATGGAAGATATTTTGCAAGAGTTAAAAAAGTTCTATGAATTACCAGTATTAGAGTTAGTTTAATAGTATATTTGTTTAATTAAGTATATTATATGTTATTCATTTTTGTAATAACATTGCTTTTCTTTTAATCAGATATTGTAAAAGCAAGAACTTGAAATTTACGAAAGTAAAATGTGGTGCAATTAAACTGGATAAATGTAAGGATGTTATAGAATGTTCACATATTCAAAAAGATATAATAGATGCAGCTTCTTTTGATAATTTTTGTGAAAAGGTGTGCGGTATTCCAAAATTTCCACCGAAAGGTAAGTATCAAGGGAGTAAATTTCGGCGTCATTAAATTAACTTTTAGTATACTATTCTATTGTAATTATTGTTTTTTTTTTTCAGTACAAATTTTACCTCTTGAGCAAAAATTGTACGAAGAAGATAATCCTTATCTTATAAATATTAATATAAAAGTGACTTTAAAAGAAAAATCTAATTACATGTCGCTTAAACGTATTTCGGACAATTGTATTTTCGATAGAGCCCTATCAGTTAGGGAAATATATAATAACATGATAAAGACTAGAGTGAATGAATTTGATACAACCAAAATCGATTCGACAATTTCGGATCATTTAATTCCTATTTTAAAAAAATTTAAACAAAATCATAAAAAATACTTATACAAGGAACATTTAGATAAATTTCTAAAGAAGAACAATATAAGTAAATTTAAGGACAGTGGAAAACAATCGAGCAACAAAATTGATGACATTGAAATAAACGTTAAAAAAATTAATAATTTTTTTTATCATATGTTAAGAACAGTAGTGCCAATTGAATTATTTGGTTCCGTTACAAACCTAAGAATTATTACTAAGTTGATCTATAGAATTCTTAATAGTGTAAGATTTCAGCCGATATATTTGAAAAATTACATTAATAGATTAAATGTAAGATTTCCTCGTTCTTTTAATAATTTTAATTGTTGGTTCAACCATGTAAAATTACTCAGATTCTATATGTTTTATGTTTCAGATTGAGCACATTGAATGGTTACAATTTATTAAAGGCGAATCCAACAAATGGGTCGTCATCAGTAAACTAATTGTCTGGTTCCTTACCAAATATTTGTATTACATTATTAATAGACTTTTCTTTTGGACAGTACATCCTGCAGCTTTTGGCAAAAGGTTGTTCATAAAAAATGGGAAATGGAAAACCATAAAAAAAAATTTTATTAGAGATAAAATCCGTAGTCATGTTTTGCTTGATACACATAAGAACAATTTAATTTCTCCGAAATGCGAGTTCAAACTTTTCTTAAAATACTCTGGCATAAGGCCAATAGCGAAAACTAGGTATTACATTTTTTTTTTTTTTTTTGTGTTTTCCTTTATTTTGTATCTTTACATATCATTTTTTTTACTCACAGTTATATTGAGGAAGAAAAACAACATATGCTGATGTTATTAAAATTCTTGAGTCAGTTGTACATCAAGAAATACGGAATTACAACAATGAGCGAATTCCATAATAAATTGAAAGCTATTTCTCGCGAGAGAAATAATTCTGGCAATGAGTGTAAAAACTGGCTAGTATCTTGTGACATAACTGATGCTTTTGGTTCAATAAGATTAGGTAAAATTATAATTATATACCTATTATTTATATTATGGATTAATTACGAGCATTATTAATAACGAACAATTAGCAATCAAGCAATAACAAATTTGTTATAGATAAATTTATAAAAACACTTATAAAAACAAGATTCTGACATTGTAATTTAGTAGTGCCTAATTTTATTTGTCGTTATTCATAATGCCCATATTTTTACACATTGCTTACGGATGATGAGATATCTAGTTTTCATGTTTTTTAACAAATTTTCCTTGTTACGTTACCAGAGGGTAACAGTCTTTCGTATTCTTTTAACAAATGGTTAACAAAAAAAATAATTGTCGACATTCCGTAAACGTAATAATAATAATCAGTCGATCATTATAGCCATTACATCGACAGCTCTGTATCGTACCTTATAAAGTATTTTATTGTAGTACAGCATTTTGTTATTTCAAAAATCGCGTTTTAATTTATAAGGAAACAGCTTTTTAAAAGTCATTTATATTTTCAATCTTTTAATCCTTAGAGTGCTATTGACGCATATATGCGTCTGGCGAAAGCTATCGGCATAGACTAAGGACGCATATATATGCGTTTGTCAATTTTTTCGGGCACCTACGCGATGTCGGACTATGTATTGATAATTATTTTGAAATTTTCCACACACAATTGAATTATTGGCTTCCGTTATATTTATTAAATTTAGTTTTCTAGTTTATTGTTTTCTATTTTATTATACAAATTTTAGTTTATTTTAAATTTCAATGTTAATGATAAAGAATTAATATTAAAAAATAACGCTCTTGAAATATTTAATCTCGTGCGAAAGAATTACTATAACTTATTACGATTTGCGCTTTGAATAGAGAGTTCATTAACAGAGTTCAGTCCAGCGGAAAAGTATTCCGTCCACAGCGATCGTCAGCGCTGGCCGCGAGTATTCAGCACTCTAAGGGTTAATGATAATTTATAACAAGAAAATTATTTTAATGAAATAGGCTCTAATTCTAAAATAATAGCAAAATGACGCACAAAAATGAAGAAAATGAAAATCAAAGTGAATTGTTGTTTGATGATTTATCGGATGCACCAAATAACACTTTAGACGAAAATGAACTCACTGATGATAGCGACATTCTTGAATCTTGAGTGATGTTATTAGACATAGAAGAGCGCCGTACGCAATGTCTTAATTATTACAGTCTATTACTACATATATAATGATTGTCTATTTACTTTTTAATCCATTTTTTTCAGATAAATTAAATAGAATAATTAATATATTATGCAAAGATCTTCCTGATGTACTGTATCTTAAGTGGGTACTGTGCTTGCCTATTAAAAGCAAAACTACTGGAGTAGTAAGGTATCAACAATGTTTTGATGCGTTACCTGAAGCACTACCAGTTGGAATGATTTTTGCTTATTCAGAAAAAGAAAGCATTGGTAATCATCCTACCTATATAATGAAGAAGCAATTGTTGAATGATATTAGGAAGTGCATATTTGACCAGAAAGTGTGTACTAACAAATTTGTCTACATTTATATGTAATACTACAACTAATTATAATTTACTTTTATAGGTAACAATAAAGCAAAAAGAATATATTGTAGGTAAAGGTATTCTACAGGGTACAATTCTTTCAAATATATTTTCTAATATATATTATAATTATGTATATCATGAGAAATTGTCTGAATTTATGAATTCCGGTTTATTATTTCGATATGTAGATGATACATTCTATCTTAGTGAAAACAGAGAGTCTGCTGAAAAGTAAAATAAAAATTTAATTTAATTAATAATAATCTTAAGGTTATAAATTACTATTATATATATATTATTTTTTCTTTTTTACAGGTTTTTGAAAATAATAAGCGAAGGATTTCCCGAGTATAATTGTAGCTTCAAACAATCTAAAATACAGACTAATTTGCCTGATCAAAACGTTCTTGCTACGAATGAAATAAACTTTTTAGGACACAGTATAAATTGTAATAGTTTAGAATCCTTACCATATTTCAGAGATGTTCATCCTTCTTATTTGTTTTCACTTGCTATGAGAAATAAGACATGCAAAAGTCCTATTTTGTAAGTCTCTTACTAATTATCTTTTAAAAAATACTTCAAAATTAATAAACAGAGTTTTTTAATGGATTATTTTTTAATTTTGTAGAATGTTCAAAGAGAGAATTAATAATTGCTCGTATCTTAGATTATCAAAAATTATATTACACAATCCAAGTACTTTTGTAAGTCGTTTGATACATTTTGTTCGGAAAATATCTATTTTGCAAGCATGGCGAGCTTTTATGTTTATTTCCAAACTATTTGGAAATTTACGTAAATTATATAGAAATTATCAAGAAATTTTTCTTCTTATTAAAAAAAGTAATGAGAAAATTGTATTAAATTTTCAAAAGTATTATGTGGAAGGTGGTATGTAGCAAAAATTCAATTATAAATATTACAAAATAAAGAGATATAGATATTTTTAATTTATTGTATATTTTGTTATCTTACAGATATAGCAAATAAAAGTAATTTTGATGCAAACGAAATAAAGAATGAAATATTGATGTTATTGTGGAGTGGGTACAGGCACGTATTTTCCAATAATAAAGTTATGCAAAATTTATTTGGTAAAGGAATCAGAGAAGAAATTAATAAACACAAGAAAATCCTTAAAATATTAAAAAATGTGCAAATTACTAGAATAAGTAAGTCATATCTTTATAAATATAGAAAATATATTTCTATACATTAAAATATATATATAAAACATTGATTAACTTAATAAAATGTTATTATTAAATTTCATAATTAATTATTGTTTAATACCGTTTTCGACATGCTTTTTTTATATATGCCATACTCAATGTTACGCACAACAAACTGTTTTGTGTATTTAGACTTTACCGACCGCTAGCCTATTAATAGGGTTTTTTTGGTGCCGACACTTACCGATTTCTTAATCAGCTTTTTGTCGTCGACCGATAGTTTATGGCGATGAACAGTCATTACCATTACATGAACAGTAATTTGTTATTAGAATCTTATTAATATCTTATTAAAATCTGTTAGTAGAATCTCTGCGGGTGAACAACAATCGGTCGGACGTGCGTATGCTGTTGAAATTCTAGCGGTCGGTAAAATGTTAAAGAAAACTATTTTTAGATTATCACACAATCTCTCTCTCTCTCTCTCTCTCTCCCTCCCTCTCTTCCCCCTCGTTAACCCTTTCGGTACGAGCGCCGTATATATTCGGCATCCACGAGATGATCTCTGTGATGGGTACGACGAGCATCGCATATATACGGCGTTCACGCGTATAGTTTTGTAAATATATAAATACCTATATATTACCTATAATTTTGTAAGACTTTTCGTATATTAAAAATGTAAATTATACTCTTGTCATGTTGGAGCAACGATTGTTTTATTCAGCATAGTTATTATTTTAAGACTTAGGAAAACGTATATACAGAAACCACATGCATTGTGCATACTTTTGGCGCGCGTTTCCGTTCAGTGTTAATACTTTGACGGACTGGACTGCCAAAGCGAAAGGATTAAAACTACAAATAATACTTGTTGGAAAAAACATTGTGTTATTAAGTACAGTTCTTATTTAACGCTTAAGAAAATCTTCGTACAAAAGAGGACTGAACATGGTCCTATGTGCGCATTTTCGGAGCGGCACCCCGTACAGTATGCTCGTACCGAAAAGCTCAAGTATCAACTATTGAAAATATATTCAACACGTTCTTGTAAGATCAATGTAGATCTTATAAATACATTTGTTAATAGATCAATAAAGCTCGCTTGATCGCTAAGAACTTTTTAGATATTAGTAGATAAGAAGATCAGAAAAAGAAGAAAACTGCAATTGTGTAATCTAGAGTTATATGAACTATTATATAAATGTAAATATTATGTGTTGTTGTTGATTTCTTTAGAGAAAGTAAGTAATATGATTAAATCCCTTATTTGTTTTAGTGTAAAGATGAAATATTTTTTAGATATTAAAAAAGTCCCTAAAACTTGTTACCAACAGTCGTAAGTTAATTATCTTGTGGGTTGTCCCCTCTACTCTAGTTTTCTTTCATTGCAGCTGTTTTCACTAGTATCACACGAGAGAGAATAAGGTTTGCGTCAGAGTTTAAAAAATGTTAACTGTTTATTAAGAAACACCATATGATTGATTAAATTGTGTATTACCTCAGTTAATTGCTACCGGATCTTTTAATGTTCGTGGTATAAATTTGATTGGTATAAAAGTAGTTATAACAACAGGTATATTTGTAATAATAACAATTGTACATAAATTAGTTATATTGCCGTGTTCACCGAGTTAATTAACGCGTGTACGTTTTTCGCATGGGGAAAGAGAATAATAAAAAGAAAGGGAATAAAAAAAAGTTTCACGCTGCATTCGGATTTATATCTTTTCTTTTTCCAACAGGGATAAAATTCTGCAGACAGCATCAGATTCAGTACCTGAAGATAGTGTTGGATTTGGAAACTAATCGATTCTGATTAAAACAAGAGTGCGACTGACGTTCCTTCTAGCGAGAACTAGACAAATTATTAATTTATTCTATCACAATTTAACAATTCCCGTTCTCTCTACTGATAGGAACTAACTTTCCCTATACGTTTAAATATTCTTAAATAGACGTTGAGAGAAGTTTCGAGAGAATACACGTAAAGTCAGAGCGTATTTAGAATCTCAAAAACAAAGGAATGTACAGTAACGAGTAAGTCTTTATCATGTACCTACGAATTAGATGATATATTTCGAGAACAATTATATTTCATTGTAACTCAAGTGCTATTTAATAATACTTTTAACGTTTTTGTGTTAAGTTATTCGATTTTGTTTTAATAACGAATTAATTTAAATAATAATTAGAAAAAAAATCACAAAAAATAACAAGTTTTGGGAAGTTATTAGTCAACAAAATTATCATCGTGTATATGCATATATGTGTATATATCTTGTGAATAAGATTTATTATTTGCCTTAAAGCTTTAAAAGAAGAGTATTATATTAATATATGTTAATATATATATATATATATATATATATATATATACTATACTATAATTATTCAAGAATTTGAAGCAAGATGAGTGATAAAGGATTCTGTACTTGTCCTTATGATTCTAGTCATCGCGTTCATAAGTCTCGAATGGCTAGACACTTAATAAAATGTAAACTTAACTATCCTAATGTACAGAAGAAGACTTGCCCTTATAACAAAATACATTTACTAGATCCGTGTCAATACGAGTATCATCTAACTGTATGTGAAGAACGTAATAACCGTGAAAATATTGTTTACGAAATAGACAACAACACACTGCTTGATATTTCAGTCCCCAAAGTTCAAAATATATCTTCACAATCTTCAGAAAATTGGGACAATTCAGATGCAATATCTTACCATTCGCATCTTGTTTGTGATGGTGTGACTAATCCAATCACTCGACATCAAGAATATGTAAATAAAAACAAAGATTAAAAAAAAATAAATCTACATCAAAAATAATTGCATTCACCAAAGCTTGCAAAACATTACTTACATGGTTTTTAAAAAATTGGAACGAGTTAAGACCTTTGATATCTTATTTTTCACATCTTTTTGCTCAAAAGATGGCCAGTTTAATCATATTACATGCATTTTTGGAAAATAGAAGATCATCTCTAAAGGAAACATTTCCAAAAAGATGAAAAGTTAAGCGAACTTCATCGATTAAAGTTAGCAACATACTTCTGCTACTTGCAGTCAAATTTTAATGAACCAAGACCTTCGACATAGTGGACCAGAGTCCAGTTGTTTCATGTTCATTTTTACAAATTGAAAGATTACACTAGAAAAAAATTTGTATCAAACTATAACTATGACTAGGAAGTAAAAGGGAAGTAACTTCTTTTAAGGAAGGGAACTTCTTCTTATACTTCTTTATTTAAGACTGTGTCCTGTTATCTACCAAAGACGAAGCACAAAATAACGATTAAAATTTTCTAATAAAATTTTATAAATAATTTCTTTACTCTTTACGTTTAAGATAACAAAATATTATATTTAATGAGTGGTAAGCTTATAATTATTGATGACGTTATATTTTTATATCGTTATATTATATTAACTTTACTTTAAACATGATTAATTAGGCTAAATCATATAAAAGTATACAAACTCATACTTAAGTATATAAAGTAATGAAAAGAAGTGAAAATCGTCGAATAATATTAATATATTTTATATTATATATTATCACCAAACGTGCCTTCATTAGAATATTGTTTACAACATAATAAGAAATAAAATATAATAGTCAGTCTAAATTAATCTATTTTCTTTTTGTACTCAAATTTAATAATTGAATTAACATAATTTTAGATCTTTAAGGATTTGTGAATTTTTGTATAATTAAGCCTAATTTTTATTTAATACTCTTAAATTTAAACTAATAGACACTTACTAATGATTAAGCAATTTTTTGTTAATTTATTTTTACTGGAGTTATAGTTTTTTTACCAAAGATTACTGACATGAGTTTGATTTAAAATTTTAAAATTACACCTTGAACTCTGGTTCAACTAGTAGTGAACATTATTTTTTAAGATTTGGACCTTCCTATGTTCTCGACAGAATTACGACGAAAAATAATTACTCACAACAAATTGAAACCTTAGAGAAAATAGAAAGCTCACCTACTAAGGTTAACTAAGAGTGGAGAGGAGAGATTTGTCAAGTAGTTTCTGATACGATAATGCGTTTAACTATAACATATATATAAATCTGATTAAAATTTATAATAATACATTTAAATTTTTAAGATATATTAATATTGAACAAAAGCAAAAATATAAAAAATAGCAGAATTTTACACCGAATACAATATCGAAATATTAGAACATTATAATGAAAATGTTACGTAATTAAGTTCAATTTTCACTTATGTAGTGATTATTGAGTATACAATACAGTACAAATAATTATATATTATTAGAAAAATATTTCCATTATATTTTTCAAAATTTATATTAATAAGATTCTATATAATTATTATTATTATTGTAATAACTTAAACTAATTTTAGAAAATTGTTAGCGACTTAACTCAAGTACAAAAGTTACAATATATATATACAAGTGATTAAATGATTTCTTTAAAATAAATATTTCATCATTTTTCAATTTTATTTCTTTTATTTTCTTATTTTTTTTTGTTTTATATTGTTTAATACAGACGTTTTACTGTAATTTTCCATTTTATAATAGATGTTAAAATAAATACAAGAGACTAATTATATTGTAATACATATATATACGTATGTGTGTTAAATAAGTTTAGTAAAATCAGTTACTATTAAGAGAAAATGACCCACACTATCACCAAGGCTATTAAAAAGAAAAATTTGAAGTGGACCTAAACTGATATATCCAAAAAAGTTACACGAATTTCTTAAATGTCTGTATTTCAAGCATACTTCAGTAAAAGTATTAAAGGTTTATATTAAAAGTATCCATTTTTTGTTACTCATATTAATTGTAAACTTTATTGTAACTTTTATTTTCATTCAAAACTATATATTCATTAAGTATATATTTGTCTTTATTTCATTTCTCATCTCCCTATCTTACAAATTATTTAGCGTGGAATTATGAATATTTCTACAATATTAACACTTCTTACAAACCAAATTCATATTCGTTGCCAAAATAACGCATGTTTTGTACAATTGAAATTAGAAATATTTATTTATCAATATATATTAAATATCTCTTTAATGACTTTTTCCAATTTTTCTTTAACTTTCTTTTGAAATCGTATACTGTGAGTGTAGACGGTATTCGTACATTAATAATTTCAAACATAGATTTATGAAATTGTTGTTAATTTACATATTTCTTATAAAGAAGAAATATGGAGATATATTCCGTAATCTCTAGATTAGGGGAAGAATGTAACAAATAATAATTTACTTATATAATTTACAGAAAAATTAAAGAAAACAAAAGATCAGCTGAAAAATGTATGCAATAAATATCCTTACATCTCGTATGAAGTATTGTAGTAAATTACTATACTTTGTGTGTAATAAATACGAGTATTAAAAAACAATAAATTGCATTGTCGCTATATTTCTTTGCCCATCCCAATATTAAATGTTTTTACGAATACTTTTAAGAACCACTGTATATGTTTTTTTCTCTCAGTTATTCTTATTTTTAAGTATATTTCCGTAAAAAGAAGTTTTCATTAATCTAAAAATGCACAGATGAAAAAACTAAAACGAAATTTTTTGTTCTTTTTTGTCTGAATATATCTTTTGTTGGTCAGAAATGTTCAAATCTTCATTTTCTCTTTCTGTTTAAAAAAAATTTTTTAGATTCCGAGCTCCAAGACAGTGGTGAAAGTTCCAGATTTATTCCTTTATACATATAACACAGCTAAGATAAAAGAAATACTTTAATTTCAGCCTACCATTGAAAAAATGTAACCTTGATGTCATGTTTTTCGAACAAAGAGATTTTCAGGTAAAGACAACTGCCGTTCGAAGAATCATCATGTACAATAGTACCTTTTAATCGTTAATACTAAGAAATCATTTCGTTTTTCTATTGTATATAAATTCGTCAAGCTTTCTTCTAAGTATTTGTCCAGATCCTCTTTTGCTAGAATACAGATGTTTTTTCTTTCATTTATACTAGTTGATAGATGTAGTCAAACTTAGCCCTTCCCCTCTTAATTAAATTATTCTTTTTAATAGCATTGGTGATAGTCGGGGTCATTTGCTGTTGAATACTAACAGATTTTACAAAACTTATTTTTCAGAATATAATTAGTCTTTTGTGTTTATTTTAATATTATTATAAAATGGACAATTTCAGTAAAAGGTCTGTATCAAACAAAAGAAAACTAAACGAATAAAACAATAAAAGAAAAAAAATTGAAAAACAGTGAAAAATAAATTTAAAATAAACTAAACAAACACTTATATGCATACATACTGTACCTTCTGCATTAGACTTCAGTCACTAACTGTAAGAATGCAAGAAATCCATAGAGATTGTATCAACTTATCTCTTTTGCAGCGGCTCACATACTGCTAACTATAAAGGGTGGGCTCGCTATCAAGAGCTGATCAAGAAAACGTTTCCGGCACCAAGACTCAGGGAAAGACGAAACAGTCAAAAAAACATACAGCCCAACTAAGTGGAAACCAAACTACGTCAAATCAATTCATCTACGTCCTACGCACAAGCAACAAAAGGGAAAAATCCTGGTCCGCTTTCTACCAACAATGAAAACAATGATAATAATTCGGGAATTTCTGGAAATTTTAACAAATTTGAAATACTAATTGAAAAACAAACGAAAACAAATAAACATCCAAATTTCAATGTTAATGTCTCGGTGTTTTATTTTCGGTACTGTTGAATGTATTGCTTTTGATATGGCCTCATTCAGTACTGTAASATACCTATTTAATTCGTGGTTCGTAAGGTTCCTATCTCTGGGTATCTCTATTTGGCAATAGTTATTTAAGACTCCGAAATTTGTCCCAGTCGCTGTCCTGTGCMGRAGACTGACATGTTAATCGAGTGTAATTATCGATGTTTTTGTATAATATTTTCTTTGCACTTCATAAAAATGATGTTCTTGATATAGCACTGGTCTATCTGGTTSTGGCACTTTGCGTGAAACTTTGCATCGAACTTCACTCACGTACGCTCTTCCGCACGATCCACTCGCC